TGCATTTTTTCTTAATGCAAAGTGCAGTCGCTTTTATTTCAAGTTAATATTTTTAAGACTAAATATAAATATAATTTTTTTGTTTACTTTTAAATATTATTTCTCATGATTAATGTCTTATATAATGCTTTTCAAGGAAAACATGAATAATCGATGAGTGAATACACAGTATGTCTTAAAAGCATAGAAAGTGTTTTGAATGAAAAAATATTTTTGTCGAAAAAATGTTGTTTTTCGGGAGATTTCATGCATTCATTTGTGAGAATAAATACATGCACTGAATGAATACAAAACAGAAATTAATTATTCAAACAAATTATGTAAACTAGAAAAATATTCTTAAAGTTTTAGACAAAAATTTGTCTCTCGCTGTCATCATCTGTCACTTGTTTTTGAGTACAATTACTACCGTTATTACTATTATTACACTCGGGTTTGACATTATTTGGCAATACCTTAGCTCCCAATTGACTACACTTTGGTATATCGTAATCGTATTCATATTCGGGCACTACTTTAAGGCTATGTTTAGGCAAAGCATGCTTTTTGGTAGCCCTCAGCGAATTAATGGGCACCGGTATGCCCGACGGCACTAAATCATAGTCTATTAATGGGTCCCTTTTGGCTGATTCCGTGTCCGACGGACTCATATTCATGTACTCGTGATGGGCGCCAATATTGACGGTATTTCTCAACAAATTATTTTTGATGCGATAAGAAGTCTTCGAGACTTTTTTGTTGCCATTTAAGCACTTGTCTAATGAAACTGCAAAAAACAAAACACAAAAACACAATAAATAATCAATAGATTAGACACGAGAACTATAGCTCAAACATAAGCACAAAAACTTTGAGTTTCTGTATCGACATTACCGTCGCGTCGCTGATTGGGTCCGTGTTTGTCATCAAATTGGGTCACATTTGTGTCGACCAAAGGCAACGCCAACGCATCCAATGGCTTGTCGTCCGTCGCCAGCGATTTGGTGTCGTTTTGATAGACATAATACTCGGAGCTGTGATTATCGTCAGTGTTTGGGCTGTTGTTTGCTTTAGTAGTAGCGATCGATTCATTAAATTCATTTGCTTTATTTGTTTCACTAATTGTGACATTTAAAGGCCTGGGCGGTGGGGCCGGAGGTCTAGCACTGCCACCACCAACGCTACCAACACTACAACTGCTGCTACTTTTAATTGCATTATTATTCCCGGAATCCGATTGCTTTAGTTTAGCCTTAAGTTTAGATTCTGATTGTTTGTCAGTAATTAGTGATACTGTTTTGGCTTTCAGTCTCTTATAGTAATTATTTTTATAATTTTGACGATTAAGTCGACTAATGCTGTTGTTGTTGTGTTTGCCAGAGGTTTTGCTCCGATGGCTACCAGTGCTATCATCTCCATGAGAGCT